GAATAGAAACCTGATATCCAATCTTCATTGGCTACTCTGACAGCCAATGCAAACCTTGCCATCTTTAAGAGACAAGTCAACAAGAAAGGCAAAACAGTCGGCTCAATGTCTGCAGTGCTTTCGCATGGCCAAACATGGAGAAACGTTTTGCAAACGCTTAGGTCGCGGACTCGGCAGGTGTCTCTTCACTGAGACCCTCTAAGAGGTGCATCCTAAGTTTTTCATGGATCTTTGATTTGTGGCAGGCTGCAAGAGTTTGTGCAAGAGTTGTAGTCTTAGAAGGATAAGTCGGATAAGTGGTGCTATGATGTTCTCAATGTGCTTCTAATAATAAGACATTGTTCGCTACTAGGAACAAGTGCATCGCTACTAGTAACAAGTGCCTTACTAGTAGTAACAAGAAGCTAGTAGAAACAATATATAAATTAGAATTGGTTCAAGAATCTAGCCTTGGAGCCTTGGAACCTCACGACACAGAGTCATCCTCATCTTCGCGTTCCAAGGGGGGCAAAGGCAGACCTGGAGTTACGGCAGTAGCCGCACTGAAAACACAACGTTGCAAAGACTGCTGTTCGCTCCTTTCACCACGTTCGCTCCTGCCTGGGTGCAAACCTATAAACTGCTGGAAAACCTGGGTGGAAACAAAGCTTTCTCAATGTGAAAGCGAGTAAACAGCTTGTGTTGGTATCTTGTACAATCGTCGAAACGGCACAAATCATTGCCCTTTCCGGAAAATGCCACTACGGCGTCTTCTCCCAAAGACGGTGTTTTTTGTTGTGACTGGGCGGAAACGGGCTGAAACCAAAAAAGAAGCTGTTTTTAGGCGTCCAAACGACGGATTTTGAGCACATGTTTGCAACCGTTTGCAACCCCTAAAACGGCATGTGTTTTTCATTACGGCATCTTTTGACTCAAAAATGCCTCCGGTAAAAATTTGTGCTGTTTGAAGATCCAAGCATGAATGACAATTGAACTGATACAAGTGAGCTCCCCAAAACCGAAAAGTGTCACACTGCCTAAATTACAGTACCCAATTTGCCACTGCTAGCAATCACCTTTCTCTGAGGCAAAAACATCATGAAAGTTCTCCAGCGGCTTTTTGTCATCGTCATGCACCTCTGAAGCTTTGGATGTGACATACTATTTAGAAACATGTTTCTAGTAGGTTGGAGGCCATCGCTAGTAGGGTGGAGGCCACTACACTTAGGTTGGAAGCTATTAGGTTGGAAGTGAAATTAGCCCAGAGGAGCATCTAGAATCTAGCCGCGCAATGCAACACAAACGGAACCCCGAAACCAAAAAAATAGACTGAAAACCATCACTCCTTGCACGATTGTCCATGTCCCCAAACCCCGAGGACCTTGAGCTCCTCGAAGTTAAAAACTATTCCCACAGAGGTCAACTTTCGTCTTGAAGACCCGCTGTCATCTCTTTCCTGGCGACTTTCGTCCTTAACATTCTCACTCTTTCTTACTCTGTTTGCTTCATTCCAATCTCGCCTTCTGGAAGGCCAAATCATGCAAAAAAAATACATGGAACGAAAGGTCGGTCACGCCATGCGCACCACTTGTCCTGCTTGAAGAGCATCACCCCAACCTGCTGCAGAGATCTTCGCGTCAAAATCACATGATTCTGCACCTCGAGGCAACGCTCGCAGCAGACGGCGCGCCAGACGCGCACAACGCCGTGCGACGAGCGACGTCAGAGGCGAAAAATTGAGTTCTCCACGCGCAGAAGGTCTTGCAAGTCCATGGCCCTGTCGAAAAAGGAAGTTGAAGGCTGTGATAGGTGGTTGAAGGTCGTCTGTGTTCATCTTCATTCACCTATTCTTTGCTCAGCAGTGTGTGTTTCACATAGTGAATTTAGCTGGGCATCCAACATGGCGTCTTCATCCATGAAATTGGCTGCCTGAGCAAAATCCAGCCAGCAGGGGTGAACGAACCAGAGTCGTGAAAAATGACAAGCTAATCTACGTCGAGATGACCTGAGCCAACATCACCGACAGACAAGCTGTGGCAATGTGAGGATGCCAAAATGCAGGTGAGATGATGACATGTTTGGAGAACAATCAGATTTGGAGCGTTAAAAATGAGCGTGTTGAAAGAGAAAGTCGTAAACAAAGTGAAAACCCTGCGGCAACAGGTTGAGTGATACGATGATGACTTTATGTGTGCGGCACTTACAGTTGATGAAGTAACATCAGATTGATGAAGCTAAAGCTGAGTTCAAAATGAAAAAGCATACGAAGCAGCCAGTGATCTTGCCTCCCACATACGGAGGGATCAAGAGAAGTTTAACCAACCGAGGAGATACAAACCTTACTACTAGCAGCAAGAAGCTACTAGTAACAAAGGGCATCGTTACTAGGAGCAAGGGCATCGCTATTAGTAGCTAATTTGCTACTAGTAACAAGAAACTACCCGTCGTTGAGTTCTTTGTCACATTCCTTGGAGGAAGAGTCTCCAGTGACTCCAGCTAGCAACAAGCAGTTTTGGTGATACCTCTTTGACGCTCCTTTAGGAATGTCGACAAAAGCAGAGTCCAACTGTGCTAAAGGATATAGCCTCTAACCTCATCTAACCTCAGAGTGTTTATAGGAAGATACAGGAGTCACTATATTGGGGCACTGTTGATACACCAAGTGCATGTTTCCCTGCCTTGACAATAGCTTCCAGCCAGCCGCGCAGTGAGTGTTGAAAGCTGTCGTACAGTTCCTGAAAGATGTGCCATGACAGTTCTATCAAGAAGCCTTCATTTTGCAGCACTGCTTTGGTTTCTTTTGTTTGTTAATGTTCCCTTTCTTCGTGTGAAATCTTCACTTTTCTTTGCTGCTTTACCTTTCTTTGTGTTGGAAGCCTTTTCACCCTGCCTGCGTCTTCTCAAACTGCTTTGGATCGCAACCAAAGACTACCCGACCAAGGCCCCTCAAAAACTGGCGTTTTCTTGAATTCAAGTCGAAATTATGCTGCATTGGCCATGGGTCACAAACAACCGAGGCGTCTAACGACCAGACTTCTGCGTCAATTCCATTCAAAAGGTTCTCTCAGGTCTCAGTTCATTGCTCTCTGTACATCTCTCTCAGCTGGACCCAATTGTTTTCATAGTGGATCACAGTCCTGCACAGCACAACAAAGTTTAAGAAGCACAACCACAGCCCAGCAAACCGCCCAGAAGCGACTTGACACAGTACAAACCACGCTCATTCTTTCAGGGTCTTTTCTCGCGAGCTCCAGAGCTTCATGAGCGCGAGTCTGATTCAGCAGAGAAAGACACGACACAGTCTGAATAGATCTGAGAGTTCTATGACAAAGAGGTCCGTCTTGCTCATTTATTTGTCTTGCTGATGCTTGTCACAAGCTGGCAAACGTCCAGCTGCCATGCCACATACTGTGCCTGGAGCATCTGTCAACACCTCCCACTCGGGAGATTGTCTTGAGAGCACAACTGCCGAAGGAAACGGAAAATTGAGACATCCCAGTTCCCGCATTTCCGGCCGACCCGTGTACCAGTGGACGAACGCATCCACCAAGTAGCGGACATTGCTACGAACTGAGCACGCCAGGCGAACACCAGCTTCATCACAGACACGCCCTGCTTGTAGCGCAGAGTACGTGCTGGAAAACTCTGCGACGATGACCTTTCACCAGGAAGATTGGAATATGCCATGAATATTTCTACTGGCGAACGCCAGCTTCCAACTAGTCCCTAACCGTTAACCTATCTTCCAACAGTTTCACTTCCAACCAGCAAAAAGTAGGCAAATCTCTCCGACCAGGCCTCCGGCACATGCGCTTCGATCGCTAACCGGACGGCCTCCATCTCCATTTCGCTAGCAATCTTCGCTTGGACGTAGCCAAGGTCTTCACTGTGAAGACTGATGTCTGCTAGGTGCCCAGAGAAGTCCACCACAAGAACCTTCACAAAAGTGTTGCAAACATATAAAGTAAGTTGTGGTGGAACAAGACAAAGCATGCTTTGTTTCACACATATTTGGTGGAAAGTACATCCATTTGTGCCTGTCGATAGATCCGTCTCAAACTGATGAATGACGACAGGGACAAATTCCGAACAAAAATCATCGGATCGAGACACCTGAAACTGACGTGACATGCCAATTGCAACATCACGCAAAAGCGTCGTCTTCCCGCAGCCAGCTGGGCCCAAAACAATCGTAGATCCCTGGTCGAACAAGTCACGAGCTTTCCGGTGAAGGCTTGACAAATGGCCTTACAGCAAAGGTAGCAAATACACAGCACGACTTGATTTGATAGGAGGAACTTGGCAACATGAATCAAAGTGAATTGGGAAGCACAGAATCAATGAATCACAGACTTCCTTTGCAGAATCAAAGGCTTCTCAACATCGTCCCAGCAGCGGCCAATGTGCACAGTGACTCTGCCAATTCGCTGCGAATCGCACAGACCGAAACTGGCCTTGTGGGGTGACCCTTTGATATGCACTGAGTCCACTGACTCCTTCCAACCAAACCTTAGATCCGGACACAACTGTACAAAATCGTCCAAACTGGGATGTTTGACAGATATTTGCAGAACTTCGACCTGCTAGATCCTGCTACAATCAGAAACATTCCTTTTTCGTTTAGAATATCTTATGTCAGATTAAGGAAGACGACCAAACCCGTGTTTCCGACGACAAGGCGCCTCTTTGCCAACTCGTCCAAATCACGTTGCGAGATCACAGTGGCTGGCAACTTGCTTTGTTCCAGCCAACCAGTACATAAGGCAACCTGCTTGCAGACTCTGAACATCAAGGGCTTCATGCGTGGCGAAAAGAAACAGAAGTTGGTTCCACCGGACGATGCGGTGAACAAGTCTCCAGCCTTCATGGGAGCACCTGATTGGAAGACAAGTCTATGGGCTGAGGAAAAGAGCTCCGTGAAGTTCATTGGTGCTGCTGCAATGCGTGACGGCAGCAGCATACTAAAGGCTCCTGATGGTCCGAATCGCAATCTAATCGACATGAAAAGTCTCTAGACAAGATTCATCCATTGGTCTAGCATGATGCAAGTTCTGAAAAGACTATGCTTTGCGCCAGCTGATCAGGTCCTCCAGAATCGCCAGCATCTTCTTTTTGACCCTCGGCATCTTGGTAGTGGTGGCCAGCCCTTGCGCTTGCCTCAGGTTGAATATATAATTCATGCAAACCTGATTTGTATCCTTGTAGATGTTTCTTTTTGTTGCGTCACGACATGGAAAAGACTTGTGCACATTGCCAATTTGTTTCTGCCAAATGGCGCTTGGAGAGAGCCCTCTTCCCGCTCCAAAATTCTCAACCTCCTCCACCTGTTCTGCCCACTCTTCCGCCGCGTCCGAATCTCCTGCAACTTTCCAGGGGTTGGCGATGAAGGCTAGCAGGGCCAGGTGAGAAAGTTTCAGACTTGAAAACTGACAGACAGGGATCAATCATGCTGGTAGACCAGAACCAATTGTCTTTCACGAAAACTAGCATCAGCCAGCTGGAATCGCCTACCAAGTGAATTGTCCACCGGAGATGGCTTTGCCCCTCGGAATCCTGGCCAACAGCATCCCTTAAACGGGCGGTTCGGTGGTTCCGCCGGGCTCCTTGGGATCCTTCCATGGGCTTCGTAGCTTGGTCTTCCCACCTTTCAATGCAAGTGACACGCTTTTTAGTGCTTGACACAACGCGAAGGGACGGCAGCATGAAATGGTCAGCAACAAGGTCACTTCTTCGGTGTTTGACCAATATGTCAAGCATGTCAAACACAGAGCCCAAACATCGGAACATGCCTGACAGAATCACTGGCCGCACTGTGATCCTGGCTCAAAAGGAGCGCTAAGTTTTCTTCTGGCTTTGCTCCCGTACATCGTATCTAAGGCCAAGATCAAATGCCAATATCTTGGCTGGGAGATATGACATTCTCAAACGAACGTTCCTGACATAGAAAACAATGTTTCTTCACGCTTCCAGTCCTCGCTGTCGGTACCGTCTCTGGCTGCGACGCCAAGATTGCAGCTTTCTTCAGGTACGATTGCTTCTGAATCTTCCGCGGATGGTGGGTGGGCTGCTCGAGTTAAGTGGTTTTTCTTCCATCTGGTAGCGGAGCTGCTTTCCTTGACCAAAGACACCATCTTGCCATGATCACTGGTCCACAAGAAGAAATCTTGGGGCCGTTCTCGCACAAAATTTTCAAGATCGCAGGGATCTGGGAAATAGGCCCCGCAAACCTCATCATGCTCCAAGAATGACAGTGGCACGCTTTCACCTCCTTCCTCGCGCAAGCGGCATGATATTGCCAGTTTGGCAGAGGCTGCATCAGTTTGATGGAGGCCCCCAATGCTGTCCCCTTTGTTGGGCACGTCTTGGACCAGATCATCTCCAACTCTTTCTGTCTCGAACCGATGCCTGGCACCATCGGCGAGAGAAAATACGTGGCCGAACTCGCTGCCAGACAACTTGAAAAGATATGGTCGCTGCGTCAAAAAAGAGAGCAAAATGCGGCAGGTGTCAGAGTCGTTCGGCAGATCTGCGTATTCTTGAAGCGCAAAAAGTGAAAGAGACTGCCCGTTGGGGGCAAGGGCATTTTGCAAAGTTGCTTCCAATGTAGATTCAGTGTAGCCACCCAAGATCTCCGTCTCACATTCACCTGTCCCCAGCAGCCCCACCAATGGACCAAAATTTGGATGTTACGATCGTTGTATACATAACTCAAAGCTAGTGTGGAAATTTGACGTTCGATGATAATCTGATATACATGTGTATATATATGTATATCATGTTGTTTTATTTTCATATTATTGATTTACATCTTTGTGTCTGTAAAAGCCTAGTGCGCAAACAGACCACAGCGCTGAGGTGCAAAAGAGCTACCCTGCACACTCTGGAAGTCTTGCGTTTCCTCTGGCTCGTCATCCTGCAGGCATGAAGCAGCAAAGTCTGAAAACCAACTTAAACAGTGAAGGAACAATATGTTTCACAGTGTGCCCACGCGTGCGTGTGTGTGTGTGTGTGCACCTTGGATTCAGAGGCTACCTTTGGGTTATATAGGTTTATTACTCTATAGTGCAGGGGGCACAGGTGTACCTGCTGAAGGTTGTGGCTTTTGGTAATTACGTTCTTCTTTAGGCTCCAGGCTCTTTAGGTGAGATTCTCAGGTCGGCAGTCACGCACTCGCCGCTCGTTCTTGCCAGCTTTCTCCCTCGTCTTTCACCTTGTACTTTGAACTTGGAGGAGTTGAACTTGCAGGATTTGAGGTAATTGATCAGACCGCATTACGTAATACCTTCTTCAGGGCAAATGGCTGCGTCAGGGTGTACCCCAAGAGTGCCCCCTGTCACCTTGCCGAACAAGGTTTTGTCTTTTCTCCCGCCGGAGACAGAGCAGTCCATAGCGGACGGAATAGGCCTGCGCTAAACGTAAGTTAAGCTTGGTCGACTTGGATAGAGTTTGAGCCGGCTGAACGCCGGAAGGTGCCTACAGCATGCGGAGACAATCATTTTGACACGGCAAGAGTAGGCCGCAGCGGCCGTAGTTTGGTCCGTTGGGACCGTCCGGGCCTTATGCACACACACGGCGCTTCACCCACACCAAACGAGACGAGGTTTTGCTAGGTTATCTTTAAGGAGGTTTGGCCTCATTTGTTTTCGGCCCTCTCATCGGTTTTCCCTTTCATCTTCCCCCTCCGCACACATCTCCTTTGCTCTTTCTTTCATGCCTTTTGCGCCCTCATGTCCGAACATTTCACTCCTTTCACATCGGTCCGGCCCTCAGCGAAAAGTTGCACTTGTACAGAAAAATTAGGTTACAGGCGGCCCAGGTTTTTGATAATGAGGTTTGGCTCATCGGTTCATCGAGAAAGCGGAGATTGATCACCTCCGTGTACCTGCTGAAGGCTGTGGCTTTTGGTAGTTACGTTCTTCTCTAGGCTCCAGGTTCTTTAGGTGAGATTCTCAGGTCGGCAGTCACGCACTCGCCGCTCGTTCTTGCCAGCTTTCTCCCTCGTCTTTCACCCTTGTACTTTGAACTTGGAGGAGTTGAAGATGTAGGATTTGAGGTAATTGATCAGACCGCAGTGCGTCATACGCGTTTTACTCAGGCAATTTTCTCACTTAGGCTTCTATTGATTCATGCACACACAGCAGGGGCCAAATCCCACTTTGCAGTCGATTGCCCAACGAAGAGGGCTGCAACAGCAGCTGAAATCTGGAAAGGACGCTGCCCGGACACCCCTTCATTTACAGGCGGCACAGAAGCTTTTGTCGTTATTGAGGACTTCATTTCACAAGGTTGCTTTCCACAGGTTCCGGTCGTCGTGCACGTCTGCTACTGCGTCCCCAGCTTCACCGCAACTAGCACTAAAGGGATACTGCATCCCTTGCACAACTGCCCTCTCATCAGACTCTTTCTCAAGTTTGTTGTCCCAGCGTCTCGCATTGCGGTATGCTGTGTGATCCCCTAGTGGGCAGCGTGTGCGCGCGCGCGCGAAGCCCTTGGAGTCAAGGGAACCTTTCCTTTTAAAAAGCAGGGGGGGCAACCCCACATTGCTGCAGTTGTGGCGGATATCCGGAAGTGACGCCTTCTGGACGTACCTGCTCAGTTTGTGGCGCTTTAGTCACATCCCAATCTAGCTTTCAGGCTGTTTGGGTGGAGGTAGGTCGGCAGACTCTGCACGTCTTCGTCGTCCGTGTCGGTCACTCGGCCGTCGACCTTGAACCTTGGTGGAACTTCCTTGGAGTTGAGCTTCAGAGTTGACTTTTGGGTAACCCTGGACTTCACGATGCTCAGACCGCTTTGCATACCTAGTCCCTGGTTTCCTCAGGCGTTCATACCTAGGTGGGCGTGTGGCAAATTGCTTTCAATTCAGTATATACGCAATATCCCGAGTGTGTGTCTGTCTGTGTCTGCTCAAAATGCGTTTGAGGAGGTCCTTCTCGACCACGTCCAGGTTCACAGTGGACGATCCATTCAGCAAAGACACGCGCGCCAGGTGTTCTAGACAATCCAAGCAGCTGGTGAGGCTGACCAAGTTGTCTGTCGCGTCCGAAGAAACTGTGAAAAGATAAGGTTTTTGCAAGAGATACTCCTTCAAATCGATGCGGGGCATGGTCTCTTGCAAGTAACCCACTTCGCCTAAGTATCGAATCTCCCCAAGGGGGAGAGATTTTAAATCTCCGCAAATGGTCTTTCCCAGCTCTACATCCCAGAGGCTTGGAGTGGACGCAGGAGAAAGGGCTGCAAGAGCGAAGCTCATGCTCGGGAAATGGTCTTTCCGGTTGTGCGTGAAGAAGGTGACCGAACAGCCTTCATTCGTGGTTGAGAACTTCGGTGAACTCTTCGGAAGCTTGCTCCGCCTCTTCTTCACCCTTACTCTGACCTCCTTCTGGGTAAGCTTCTCAAATTCACGTAGTACCCATAATCGTCTGTTGCCTGACCACGCATAGAGAGTGTTGTCATTTTCCAAGACGTCAATCTGAGGGATCTGGTGCGTGAGCAAATTGCCATCAAGCAGTTCCTTCAGCATGGTGGCAACAAGGCGTTTATCTTGGAAAACTACCCTGATGCTGTCATGGCACCAGCGAATTTGCGAAACGGGTACCTCGATCTCCCCACAAATGGGCTCTGCAGTTGCAACAGGCACACTCGGAGTTTGCGCAGCTGCTGTGCCTCTTGCCTTTTGTTCAATCGCCTGCCAATGACCATACAAGCACTTCTCACGGAAGTTGCACATTGGGATGGTTTCAGGCTTCACATGCTGGCGTCCATCTTTGTGATCTTTTTTGGCAGGACAGCAGTCCCTCAAAAAGTAGCAGCAGTATGATGCTAAGCTGATGGTGTTGCCCTCAAAAACCAACAGACCGTCATGAGCTTGGCAGAAGGCCCTCGCTCCTGCATCTGAGATGATCGCCTTATGAGAAGGATGAAGCTTGTAATACTCACCGAGGATGCTTCCATGTATGGAACCGCCCATCTGATGGATAAACAATGCCAAGTTTGCTGCAATCGAGCTTGGAGTTGCCTGGCCCTTACCCGTATTCTTGCCGGTGCTCTTACCGGTCCCTTTGCCAGACCCCTTGCCTTTTAGACCTTTCGCCTGTGCCTCAATCTTCGCCCAGTGGCCTGCAGTGCACTGCTTGCCATGCTGACAATGAGCTGCACCTGTTGGAACCTGGCTGTGCAAAAAGCCCTGGTGGGTGGACGTCTTCTCACAGCGGCCCTGCAGAAACAAGCAGCAATGCTTGGGCAGGTACAACTTGCCCCCACCTCCATCATAAGCATAATGCAAAAGCCCTGGATGTTCTGCACAGAAAACCGGAAGCTTATTTATGACGCTCTTGTGGCTAGGATGTTCAGCATAGTACTGGTGGAGTTGACAAGCAAGCATGGAACCTCCTCGGTGTTCTCCCAGAAAGATTGCAAGTTGAGCAGCAACTTGCATGGATGTCGCAGATATCAGACTGTTGGAGGTGGTGGAACTAGAAGCACGTGCTGGAGACACTTGGCTGGGCATCTTGACCTTGAGCTGCAGGTGAGGGCCGTCTGATGGGCCAACGGAGATGTGGTCAGGATACTCTTTGCAGAAACTCACCACGTTCTTTATCAAAGCACGATACGAAGGGTGCTTGGTATAAAAGCCAGCAAGCTGGTTAGAAGTTATGATACCACCTTGCTCCTGAATATGCTTTATCAAATCGAGGAGAATTTGTTGCTTCTGAGAGGATGATGTAGCCATGGTCAGTCAAAGCAGTCACAGCAACAATCACGTCTCAAGGACACAGGAGCACAAAGCGCCACTACCTCTGCAAACAATGTGAATACACGACCTCTTTCTTCAGCTCGTCACTCAAAGTGCACATTGCTCCGGGATGACAACATTCGCAGCCTGTTGAAGCAAACGCGCTGCAAACGAGCCAAGCGGCTGCGTCACGTACCTCAGATCTCCAATTCTGGGACAAAGATAGAGCGAGATGACAAAGGGAAAGCAAAGGCCTTCCACTGAGGCCTTTATGACTTTATGAAGCATTTGTGTGAAACCTGTCATTCATGTTCTGTGTTGTAGCAGGGCACAGGCTGGCTTAAGACAGTAAGCAGTGGGGTTAGCGATTAGCTTTCTGTCCAGAAAGACTTCCTTCAAATCTACATCGAAGAAAACGATATAGAACTTTGAAGGTGTTGGAAGGATTCAAAGCCCATTCAAGACCCGATGTGGCCACTTCATGTCCTTCTGTAGCGAAAGGAGCAGTACAGCGAATGCCTCACAACACTGTGCATCGAACCATGCACAAAAAAGCAGGATTTGATTGTCGCCTTTGGGAAGACGAGGAACACGTAGAGTATGAGCTTCCTATCAGAGAAACATATGCGACACTCCAAAAAATCCAAAAGCAGACCATTCAAGCCACAAACCACAAAATTAAGAGTATCATTCTCACTTTGTCTCCAACTTATGTACACCAAAACGGCCAACAAAGACGACGGAGACAAAGCGCATTGTCCTTTTGACGTCTCAGTTGGCTCCGTGTGCACCTTAGGGTTGGAAATTGCCAGTGGCGCAGCAATGCAGCTTCCAGCAGCTTTCAGCCAAGGATGGGACGAACAGCAGAACCTGCACTGCACTGGCTGGGTCAGCAGCACAAATATCAACAAAGCAAATCAAAGCAAAGCAGGCCATTCTGGTGAGTTATGTCCAAGATCAAAACCCCTTGAGACTTTCAAGTACTTGCAGTCGTTCTTCCTAATCGAGTTGATATTCAAGATTGTTTTGGGCCAAGTAGCAGAGCCAGGAGCTGAATCCATGAGCACCTGAGCAGGACTAGAACTTCAGAAGGGCCATCGCAAGGATAGTGTGCGGGTTCACATAGTCAGTTGCCAGTTTGTGATACTGATGATGCTTGCCTCCTCCGCACTTGCCCGAGATCGAAAATCCACCTTGCATATTGAGTTTTGAGGCTTTTCAAAAGCTTGGAACGATCCTACACTGCCGTGTCGTTGTCATATGCTATATGGGGTCCAGCTCTCGCTTGTTCAAGACAGATACAAAAAGCATTCTTGAAAAGGTCCACCTCAAGCCGCTGTTTCAAGGAGCAGCGTGCATTGTAGAAGAGCTTGTTTCTGGCACCGCTCCTGTGCTCGCATGCACACAATAGCTTCTTGTTACTACTAGTAAGGCACTTGTTACTACTAGCGTGGCACTTGTTACTACTAGCGTGGCACTTGTTACTAATAGCGTGGCACTTGTTACTAATAGCGTGGCACTTGTTACTACTAGCTTCTTGTTTCTATCAGACCAAAAACAGACTTCAAAACCTGCATAATCGCTGCACACGCTGTTCTCGCCTCTTGTAAGGTGTGATGATCGCCCCGGATCCTGCCGCAGCCTCCGCAGATTTGTTGCTACTAGATCAAAGCTCCAGCATGCTATTTGAGGTACACTCCTCGCCACTGAATACAGATTGTTCCTTCTCCATCAATATATGGTGTATGCATGCTTCATCATGCTTCACTTTTCTACCACTGAGCAAAAAAGCCGTCCACAAGATAAGTTCGCGCTGTGAAAGCTGCAGCTCGAACAAACATCTGTGCTGAGACAGCACATGTGACCAGCTGAGGCCAACGCCGCCACCATCTGCCCACTTCTGCGAAGGCAATGTGCAACATTGCGATATTCACACAAATTGCATCATTAAGCCAAACATGCTTTCCCGGCTGAGCTCTGGGCTGGGACATCTTGTGAAAGGCGCACACAGCACGGTCAAGTCATGCTGCAAGACACTTCTATCGGTTGCAAGACACGTCGATTGAAAGGTCACATCCATTGGTCTGTCCGAGTCCCACCCCACATGTCAATATGCTCTGAACTCTTAGAAGATCGCTACGTGACCCGTAATCGAACCTGCAGAAGAGAGCCAACTGCACTGCTTTCGGCTTTCTTGTCTAACACGCTGGAATCATATGCGGTGTGTGGATTGAATAGAAAAGCTGCACAGGTGCAACAGCAACAAGAAATTGGCTGTGAAAAAAAATGAGGCAAGGTTGCCAATTGACTCACTGGGGAGTCAAGGTTGCCTGCGGCGTCTGCAACGTGGCTTTTCACATGCCTAGACTGTCCGCACCGAGACTGAATTCACAGCTGCTTCGCTGTATGTGAAACCCAAACGCATTGACAACCACCTCGAAGTCATGATATACCACAAGCTGACAAGCTGGAGAAGCGAAGCTTTCATGTCTGAGATCCAAAACAAGCTCTCGTCTATGTACACAATCTCGATGTTTATGTAGACCATGTGCATTTGCACTACTAGAATAGAATCGATCGAACGATAATACTATTTTTGTGAATTGCAATGACCTCCATACGCCGCGTACGCTTGGATTCTGTAACATGACTCGACCTTTGGCCGAGCCAGGGAGGTGAGACTCATGGAGGTGACCTCACCTGCGAGAAGCGATGAGACAGAGACGAATGGATCGTCTTCTTTGGAATAGGATCCTAGTAGCGAACAGTGCTCCGAGTAGTACGGCCAGGAGCCCCTAGTAGCGTCTTTGTTCCTAGTAGTGATGCCAGGAGCCCCTAGTAGCTTCTTTGGAATAGGATCGTCTAGAATGGATGTCTCAAAGTTGCGAAAGTGCAAAAAATGGAAAAGCGCCTTGACCCTCGGCTGCCTGGTCTGGACACCGCTGAAGGCCTCAGGCATGGAGCAACCAGGACTGTGTTCTTAAGTCGATTCCCACGTGTTTCCGTTCTTTTTCGAAAACAACTTATATAAAAGCAATGGCCTCCAACCTACTAGCGATGGCCTCCAACCTAAGACCGATGGCCTCCACCCTAATAGCGATGGCCTCCAACGCATGTTATTTGGTTTTTTCCGAAAACAACTTCCAAAGGTGTTTGCTCCATTTGGCTCCCTAAGCTGTTGGCGGGCGGGATGGCAGTGCCACACCACGCTCTTGGCAGAGATTCTCAAAGAGCGGAAGAACATCCTCCATGAGTCGGTTATGAACAACTCAACAAACAGTAGCAGACAAAGGAGGCAAAGGAATTGAACCAAAAGCGACCTTGAGCTATGTCAACTTGTTGTTCAAGTAAAATGAAGGCAGGCTCAGAGAGCTCCAGTCCTCCGTGTAGTCTTGGAGCGCATTGCTCAAGGCAAAGAGCATGCTCTGATTCTGCTCCCGCACTCCTCGTGCCTTCCCAAATCATGCTCAGAATTCCAGTGGAGGATCTGTAACAAAACACAACCAATTCAATGCACTTTCTCAAATATCCAAGTGTCCTTGGGATGAGTTATGTATATACAGCTCAATTGATGCTCTTGTTTGAACAGCTAGAAGGTCTGAAGAGCGTCCTGGATGTCTACAGCTGCCGGCGTCTCGGGAGCCAGATCCACACCAGCCTGGCGTGGGCGTTTGCAAATCAAGAATCCTTAAATGCTCTCCCACAAGAAGCTACTAGTAACAAGTGCCTTACTACTAGGAACAAGTGCCTTACTACTAGGAACAAGAAGCTACTAGGAACAAGACACAGCTTGCCAACTTTTTGAAGAAAACATCACGCCCATCGCCGATCACCCGAGATCCAGACGTGAAAATCTCTACTTTCAAAATCCGATTTCTTTTTGGCTCGCCTGGATTGCCCGAGCTCGAGCTGCTTCCAGCGCCTGATCAGCGAATTCCGACGATGTGCAGATCGGAATGCGGGACGGAAGTTACCAAACGGTAAACTTGACCTTGCTGTGAATTCACGTGTGTCAGGCGTTATGCCTGCTCCGCACGCTGTGTCTTGGCTTGTTGGCCCTCCACATCCTGCCGCAGCACCTAAGCGTGCAGTCGCCAAAAGGAAGCGATCGAGATCTGGGGGAGCATTGGGCATTCGGACTAGGAGCAAATCTAGGAGCAACCGGCAAACTGCACAGAATGCCGTTGCCCTTTGCGGTGAAAGAAAGAATGTAGTCTGAGATAGCTAGACGTGGTCACCTAGACGGATGAGTCGGAGTAAGAATCCAGACGATTCCCAGGCAAGAGTTTGTCTGTAAAGCGCCCACATTTGCACAAACCAGGAGCTAGCTGCTAAATTAAAGAAAGAAACAGCAGGTCCCGTTGCTCAGGGTGTCTGAAAGCATAAGAGCATATGGAGACATATGAACTCATGTAGACTGGAGGGCTTTTCTCATGTCCTTTGCATGTGAGTCTTGTCACATGCTCAAGGTCCTTAGAGTCCTTAGAAATACCATGTGTATGTTCCGCCAAGCAGCGTCCCGGGCAGCAGTGAGCTCATTGACCTGAGCCTGGAAAAATATGTGAAAATTGAATTCATACATGCCAAAAGTAACAGAATCCTGTTCACCATATCAATTAATCGGGAATGACAAGATTGTATGGAGGGCAGAAAACCCAGCACATCGCTTGAAAGTATTGGACTCGAGAAGTTCAAAACATAATTGCAACAGTCCTCCAACTGTTGCATGGAGCGCTGCAGCTCCTGCAAGGATCGTCACTTCCGTGAGCATCCGTGCCATGTTTGCCACAACCATAACAGTCCTCATACCGCTGCACATCCTCCTGAGCCTGGCAACCGGAGTCTTGGAGTGGTGTCGTGAGCGCACTGGGGATTCCACCAAGTTGGAATACGAGTGGAAAGGAAATGGCCTCCAACCTACTAGCGTCCTTGCTCCTAGTAGCGCCCCTAGTAGCTTCTTGTTCCTAAAGCTCCTAGCTCCAAAGCAAACAAACACACCCCAACCTCCTGCTCAATCTGCGACAGGACCTTCAACGAGGCGGTCGACAGAGTCTTGCTCACAATGTGCTCCGGCAGATAGACAAAGCAAATCAATTTTGACCTGTGCCAGCTACACACTGTGCCTTCTTCTTCTTGAAAAGGACCTCATTGGCAGCACGCGACTGCTCCTCTAAGGTTTGCTTCTCCTGCCCACAAGACCAAGAAAAGCAGCTGCGCTCGCACCCAAAAAAACCGTTCACAGTCAGAACTTGCCTCGAGTTCACTCTGATTCTGCAAGTTGGTGGTCTGGAGGTTCTCTTTGAACTTCTGGTTCCGTTGCACCAAATGCCCCTCGCTTCGCAGCGAATGCGAAAGCGTGCTGAAGCAAGCTACCAGAATGCCAAGGCAGTCTGATGAGATCAAATCTAGGAGTCCCTGACCAAGGTGTTCTCCAAGGATCGGATTTCCTGCACCATTTCGGATGTCAAAAGGATGTCATGCCAAGATGTCACCAGTTCGCATCTTCCAATCCTTTTCGGCCCGGCGGATCTTGTCATCCAGCTCATCACCCTTACGTTGCAGCTCCTCCTTCTCCTGAGCTGCCTAGCGCAAGTGAACCGATCGGGTGCAAAATGCTCCAAAACATGGGTCATGTTCGAAGTTCCCCAACAAATCTCTGTCCTTATCAAAAATTACAACAATAAAAGGGACTGGTGTCCAAAACAAAAACTGCAAAAAGGTGTTGTTCTCCGCTTCGTCGAACTCCGTTGTTCGAATTAAAGAACCCCGTTCACCTCGGTCCCCGACGAAAAATGAGGCGAATGGGTCCCAGTTGGTCGCAGTTGGTCTTTGTTTGCCCGCTTTTCGCAAGAAGACGGAAGCCTTGATCATGTAATGAGCTTGGCTCTTCTGCTCCTCTCCATCTTCTTTCTTCACCTGTCTCAACTTTGGCAGAAGCTGGAACTGATGAGTTAATATGATTTGTGATGTTTTTTTGTGCAAAACAAATGATGAATAAGAAGGAAAACACATCAAGCTCCAATGCCAGAATCATTCTCCATCAACCCCGTCCAGTGCGGGTCAAGGTTGGAGAAGCCATGGTTCAGCAACAATTTGCATTTATGCTTAGGAGGCCCTGTTCCGAACACACCATCAAGGGTTGGACTTACCTCTGGTGTCGATGATGCTTACTGATGTTAATTGCATTACTGAGATCGTGATGCCTTGTTGAAACTGCTTAGAGGAGGAGGAGGAGGAGGAGACGGAGACTGATTGTATTTATCTTCTGGTCACATGTTGCCAACTCCTGAAAAGAAACTGCTTTTTGAAGCAAATGCATAGAGCAAACCTGAAGTGGATTCAGACTTCTGACTCCGGCTTCCAAACATATTGTTTGGATCCATTGACCTGCCTTGCACATGACATTGTCATACTTGCTCTTCCTGACAGAGCAGCTGGAGCAAAAGCGAGCTTGAACATAATTCAGCCTCTACATACTGCGTAGACTTTGTACTAAACCCATATCGAAAACGGCAATACCATGCTGCATCTTGTCTGCCAGGGCACAAGGTGAATATCTTCTGCTTTCGTTCCGCCAGCTCAATGGCTGCCTTCCAAAGCAAGGGAAAATGTCCGAACAGCTAAAGCTTGCCTTGTTTCTGGGTCAAGCAAATATGGCTTGCTGGATGTCATCATTTGATGCAAAACGCTTCCCTGTTTCGCTCTGTCATGAAGCTCAGTGCTCTTTCATGTTTTCCCAAAAAGACGTCTTAAAAGACATGTCCTGTGCTTCTCCGGCCTTGTGCTTCTCGTCCTCGGCCGCACGGATCTGCGCTCGCAGCACCTGGACCAAATGTGTCGAGAGGTGAACGAAACGCCCTAAGCGATAGCCTAGAAACCGACTAACAAAGCGTAAGATAGTGTCTTCTTGTTACTAGTAGCTACTTGCTCCTAGTACGGCCAGGAGCCCCTAGTAGCGATGCCCTTTGCTCCTAGTATCTTCTTGTTACTAGACCTCAGAGCTTTGTGTCTTGAAGATAAACCTAAAAGCCATGGCGAACCTAAACGCGAATGTCTTAAAGATAATCTCATGTCTTAAAACGAAGCGCTGGCACTGCTGGCGCTGCACTCAACAAGCGAATATATGACATCTCTGGTCAAAGACCGTCTCTCATGTCTCTCAAGTAGCTCCCGATCACTTCCCCCGGAGCCTCTGTATGGACTTCGATTTCTTTCTCTCTTTCCTGCGCAATGGAAGGTCGCCCACTGGTGCTGCAGCGTGTAGCAAGTGGACCAAGAATAGAACATCATCCATGGTCGTATCACCGACATCAGAGTCCTCCATGCTGATCTGAAGCTGCTGCTTTCGGTTCTCTAAACTGTACCTACACACATTCAGCTGGAATTCTTGGCCAATTGAACAAGAAACACTTGAAAACCTGAAGTTTTACTAGACCACGCAGAAATCTACTAAGTGATGTTGACACACTTGGCTTGTCACCAAGAATGCACGAGCGAGGGCACAAATTCTCCGTCTTCTGCGTCAGCTGCTGCTTCAACCGCTTGACCTGGATCTGACATTCTGCATCTACTTGTATTTCACAATTGTCTCTACTTCTTTGGAGGAGAGCAGAGCACCAGTCCAAGAAACCTTGCTGTTGGAAACCATTTACAGCTTCAATTAGCAAAGTTTGTGAGATGATTCACTTCCACCAGTCTGGCCTCCAGTTTCAGGATGTCATGCTGCATCAAGGATTCCTCCTTGTCCTGCATTGAATTTAGGTCAGGGCTCCAGTGCCCCAGGCCGTGCTACTAGGTGCTTCTTGTTCCTGGCAGTAAGGCCAGGAGCTACTAGTAGCGTCCGATCGCTCCGTTCGTAGCGATGCCCTTTGCTACTAGTAGCGTCCTTGTTCCTAGTAGTAAGGCCAGGCCGTTTTTTGAATGACTCCTAAGGATCGGAGATTTGCTAAGCATGCACTTGATGCAAGGTCTGCTCGGTCCCTCGTGTGCTGTTGCCTCCCTGAACGACAATGAACAATGGTGTTGGAACAGGTGCGGCTTTCTCAAAACCTTCTTCCACTCTGTCTCTCTACTATCTGTCCTTCACCACTTTTGAGACAGCACCTTGGCATTCAAGAAGAAGATAGAACGGCTCGAGCCAAATGCAGAACAACAATGCTCCCCAAGTAGCTAGGAATCATTTGTACTAGTGGAATTCAAGGCACGATTCATGATGGTGTTTTGGAGCTCAAGCTCTTCCATGGTGGTCTTCATGGCCTGCAAGACAACCACGTTTCCCATGGATTTGTCTCAGAAAGCTCTTGTTCCTAGTATCTTGTTCCTAGTAGTAAGGCCAGGAGCCCCTAGTAGCTTCTTGTTCCGACTAATAAGGCCAGGAGCCCCTAGTAGCTTCTTGTTGCTAATAATAATGCCAGGAGCCCCTAGTAGCTTCTTGTTCCTAGTAGTAAGGTCGAGATCTGTCAAGGAATCCAGTGCCTCGCAGTCCCTCTTCACGTTCGTGAGGTTTCTCTGGGAGTTCTTCAGCTCAGCATCCTGACAGTCACTGCCGCACAAACATGCCAGGTTATTTCATTTCAAACGGATCTACTGGGAAGTGAACTTCACCGAAACAGGAAATCACGAAACCAACCTGTCGCTTGATCTGTGCATTCAGGATGGCGTGCAGACTCTTTTGCTCGTCCAGCTGCTTGTCTAACTGCTCCACATCACATCTCAACCCAGTGTTCCAAACAAATTTGTCACCATTGTCCAAAGATAAATGCAACCACAAGAAACAAAAATCACAAAGACCGTCTGTTTCTCTTCAAAAGACGAAGAAAGAACTGAAGACAAACAGAAACAAGAGCATGTTGTTCATGTGTTTTCCTTTCTTTCTCTTCTTTCTCGGCCTTTCGATTGTGCTCTTCCTTCTCTTCAATGGTCCGCTCCCCTGAGACCCGTGCCACCTGACCAATTGTGAACAACAATGGTACTAGTAGCGATGCCCTTGTTACTACTGGTAAGGCACTTGTTACTAGTAGCGATGCAATTGTTACTAGTAGCCTCTAGCTACTAGCAGCACTGCACTTGTTACTAGTAGCGATGCACGTGCTACTTATTATGCTCTTGCGTTTTCTTTTCTGTCCTTTCTTTCGTTCTTTCTTTAGACTTTGGGACTTTCTTTTTTTTGGGATTCATGGTCAACAACGGCGACTCCAGAGCAATCCAATGTCGCTCGTCACGAAACGCACCTTGCGCTGCATGAGCTGGGACTGGAAGTCAACAGCATAAAGCAGCTCCTTGCAAATCCAAATCCAATAAGACTCAAAGAGGCAAAGACATGCAAAGACTTCTGGAGAAAGTTATCATAAAAGGTTACTCTTTTGAAGCTCAAAGCGCAATATGCTCCTGTTGACGCTGGCGCTCTTGATCCAGCTTGCTGATCTGGAGCTGCAGGTTTTTGATGGCGGACCTCAGAGCAAGAACTTCAAAACAGCACCCTTTTTCTGCAAAACCAGCCATAGAGCCCTGCGAACAGTACAGTGTAAGCCTTAGCACTGGGCTGTGACCCACTGATAGCTCCAAGAGTTGTGGCCTTTGACAAAAATTGCATGCAGCGAAACACGTAGCGAAACACCAGCGCTGCGCAACCGACACGTTTCTTTCATCTTAGAATCTCTGGACCAGCTACTTGTCACTACCATGCATATATAGTGATGTCGCTATGCCCAAAGATTATGAGCCCGTTTGCCTCCTCCGCTCGAAGCCTATACAGCTCTTGGCTCTCTTTGTAGTGGCTTTCCTGGCGGTGCAGAATATGAGAATCGAGAACGAAGCCAACGAGATGGTCGAACACCCGGCCTTTGCAGCCTTCATCTCCTTTTCGACCATCTTCCTTAGGCCATGAAGACTCAGATCTTTTTTGTTTAAGAAAGCAACGCAACCGTGTTCAAGACTCTTGAGCATTGCAGGCTCTTCTCAAACATTGAACTGAGGGTCAAACCAATTTTAATTGAAGGACAAATAGCAGAATACTTTGTTTTTGATATTCAATCGAAGCCTTTCAAATCTTTCCTTGCAAGCCCAGCTTCATGTTGTTGAGCATGTCTTGCCTGGCTTTCTCTGCATCTTGGCCTGCCCCCAGAGCACACCACTTGGATGTGGCATCAAAACCGAAACTTCCTTTCCTGCATTCTGTCGCTTTCAACTGAGCAACGAACTCATTTGCTCTTTGCTTCTTCTGGTCTGTTGGTGCTCTTGAAGAGCCTTCTTGTGTCCATCCAGGCTTTTGTATGCCTGGTCGTGCCTGGCATCTTTCCAAGACCATGGCCGCAATGCCAAAAGAATCCTTTGTGAGGTTTCCTCGAGATTCCTCCCTAACTAAAAGCTTGCTGCCCCCACTTCTCTTTACGTTGCTCCAGCCGCTTTGCACCAACCTGCACTTAGAAGGCAAGCTTTTGAAGCGTGACAGAACGTGCATAGTCCAAGCCCGTGAAATAGAAACGATCCCGATTCTACACTGGTTCTGAATTTGAGAGGTTCGTGTGCGCCTCGTGCTGATTCTGCGTGTTGAGTTTCTCCGAGATGCAAGCATTCAGCTGGTTTTTCATCACTTCGACCTGAAGATCAAGGACGACGTGGGAAAGTTGTGCAGGACGACGACGCCTCAACATCTTAAGTGCACTTGCCTCATCCTTGAAGCCAGTGAGGGATGTCTTTGCTTCCTGCGGGAAGGAATCGAAAGGAATGGAAAGGAATCAAGTGATCCACAAGACCCTCCAAGTGTTTGTGTCGGCATAAGTAATAAGAGGGGTAGCAAGTGGTAAGTCCAAGACCCAAGGCTAGCTTGCGCTAAACGGACAATCACAGAGGCAGATTGTATATAAACCCTGTCCATGTAGTCCATTCGCATGCGAACAAGTTGTCGATCCTTTGTTGCAGGACATGTATATAATGTGCATGGCAATGTGCATCGCAAAGGTAACCCTTGCTTTTTGAAGACCGTTTTAGACTCAGCAATGGTCGGACTCGTAAGGTACTAGGATCACGGCTGTCTGTTGGATTGTCTGCTCCATCTTCTCGTTCTCTCCCTGGCGTTGTCACTTGTGGATATCAAGCCACAAAACTTCCTGGTTGTAGCATCACCATCAGAGTCAACAGTCATTCTTGCCACCTCAATGTCTTCGTGGAACTGCCGCCGTTCCTGACAAATCGATGAACAGCAAGCATACTCTGATGTGTGTCCGTGTGGTGCATGATTTGGTCCAAAACCAAAAGCACCCATTATCCGGCCTTCATTTTGTCTTCTTTGACCTTTTTCCGGGACATGTTGGCAGCGTACTCCTGGAGGCATCCATAAAAGGGATTCAAGACATACTTCACCGAGACATGCATTTGGTTGACATAGCAAGAAACAAGCTTGGACGGATTAGGACGGAGAGATATTTGCCTCTGGTCCCCTCAAAGATTCTCCAAAAGCAAAGGAAGCCGTTTGGATCCGTTCGGAGAAAAGGCGACCGCTTGTTGTTACTAGTAGCGTCCTTGTTCCTAGTAGTAAGGCCACGAGCTACTAGTAGCATCCTTGCTCCTAGCAGCGATGCCCTTGTTACTAGTATCTTCTTGTTACTAGTAGTACTGTTCGCTCTTGCACTCGAGGTGATCTCCTCTCCCAAACGCTCAAGTTGAGAATCGCGGCTCTTCATACCTTCAAGAACGTGCGTCATGTGCTCCTATTGGATGTCTTCGACACTGTACATATTGCGACGTCTCCGTTCTTAATGATTAATGCAAGCTCGAATCGTCTCTTCCTTGCATGTGAGCCTTCTGGGAATTTCAAGCTTTTAGAAGAAAGCTCGGCGAAAGAGTTGACAAAGTCCTAAACCTTCCAAGATGCTCTTGACTGATTCTTCCCACTGCTCAATGATCCTGGCAGCTTTGCAAGGTGGAACATGTAAAATGTGTACTACCCGATGCTACCGAAGACCAACCAATAGATCCACAGCAGAGCCAGGGGCACTTCTTTCTATCATCATGCAGCTGGCGGAAAAGCTCTGCCGTCTTGTCAAGCTCCATTTGTTTAGCCTCGCTTCTCACGCCATGGCAAACAGAGATGTGACCGCAACGGTGGTGTTCCCACCACTTTGACTTGCCTGGGTGTCAGTGATCAGATCATCCAGCTCCTTCCGTCTATTGGCATTTTCCACCTCACGCTCCAATCACTTCAGCTTTTGACTACCTGTGATTCTCCTGAAAAACCATCATTGAAAAATGCTCCCACAGATTTCCAGTAGCTTTGTTGGGACTCACATTATGTAGCTGAATGGGGCTCCCGCTGTGAGCTTCTCAACGGTGAGCGTAAGCTCGCGCACCTCTCGGAAGTCAATCTAGCTGCTCGGCGTCGTTCTTCAAGTCTTCTAGATTCCATTTGCGCAAAGTGCAGTTGCATGTTTGGGCAGCTTTCCATCGAATCACAAGAAAAAGGAGGCGCAGCAGGTCAGCTGTATCTTTTTCGATTGAGCATTGCAAAATGTCACTGTTCATTGTCCGCTGACACATCCCTGGTAGATGTGTCTTTGACAATGATCTGCAAATTGATCCAAAACGCCTTTGGCCTCTGGGTGAATGTCCAGATGTAGCTAAACCATCAACTGGCTCATCCAGGGAGCACATAACGGGTCCGTACAGAACTGCAAGTAGGCCTGGCACATCGGAAAGTCACTAGGAACGACGCTACTAGGAGCAAAGTGCATCGCTTCTAGTAACAAGTGCCTTACTAGTAGTAACAAGAAGCTACTAGGGGCTCCTGGCCTTACTACTAGAAATTACACCACCGTAGACCCCAAACAGTTTGTGTTTTTCAAAGTCGAAACTAGAGCTTGCGACGTCCAGAGCTGGGAGATAAATGTAAGGGATTGCAAGGCAGAGACGGACACAGCAGTACAGAGCGGGGGGACACATCTTAAGAAAGAAGTGAGAAGCCCTAACAGTAAACC